TATAAAGTTGTGCAGGATAAAACATGCATTGATGATTCTAATTTGAGTCTTCACATCATAAAAGCAAGCATGGCGTACAATTGCCCATCTCTTCTTTAGTAACCCAAAACTGCGTTCAATTGTATTCCTTGCAGCAGAGTGCCGAAGGTTAAACAACTCCTTATAATTAGTTGGAGTGTTTCCTCTCCACAAATTTAGATGATATCTAGTTCCTTTATATGGAGCCAAAAATCCTTGACCATTTGTGTAGCCCAAATCCACAAGATAATACATATCTACATAAAAAAATAATAAAAGAGAACCGAAATTGTCAAAAGTCAAATTTATACAAGGAGTTAAAAATAGTAAAATTAACTTGAATTAATAACACTTACTTTGTGGAACTTTTAAGTTATTGCATCTGGTCAAAGCATCACGTAAAACACGAGAATCCGATGCTGATCCTTCCCAACCAGGCAGCACATAAGTAAATGCTAAATTAGCATCACAAGCTCCCAAAACATTTGTAATCAAGTTACCTTTTCTATCTCGATATTTTCCTCACTCACTAGTAGGTACAGTTATCTCAATAAGGGTTCCATCAAGTGCCCCAAGAGCTCCCTTGAACCATTGCCATTTATCATCTACTTCATGGAGGGATACATTATTTTGTTTAATGTAAAACTTTCCAATTTTCATCATTGCTCGTAGAACAATATGGAATTGTCTACTAATTGTTTCCGATGAACGAGCAAAAATACTTCTAATTGTACTATTTTTAAGGTCATGAGCAAGAATATGCAAGAAAAGTGCTACAATTTCCTTAATTGTCACATATCTTGTGGCCACTAGTCCACCTTTCTCCACTAAAACATCACACAATTTCTTAAATGCTTGTCTAGTAACACGAAGTTGATGCAAGCAAACTTTTTCATCATCTAATAATCTAATCCACATCTTCCTCTGATAATCCCTTACATCTTGATCACATAATCGAAGTTCTCCATACCTATGCTTACGACGATGACAAATAGCAACAAGTATAAGAAAGAACTTCATAAGCAATAATAAAAACTCCATATCTTCTTGCTCATTTTCCTCAATTTTCTCTCGAGGACGTTTACGTTGAATTGACAAACCATTGTCACCATCAACCATGTTTGCCTATAATAGTTCGATTTACATTATTATAAAAAAGCAAAATATCTTTTATCATAAGCTAACAAAAGAGAGTACATGAAAAAAAAAATATAAGCTAAAAAGGAAAAGGATAATTATAATGAGATAAATTGTCTTACTTGTAAAACAAAAGTTCCCAAGTATTTTTGTAATTTTTGGAAGCTACTTGAACTTGATCACCGCTGCAATTTATAATATATTACGAACACTCAGTCATGCCTAAAAAAGTTAGATAAGAAAAACTCTAGAAAGAGAAGAGAAAGGAAAGAGCTTGAGTTAATAATTCCAATAGTTCACTTGTAAAAGCAACCAATAAGAAATTTATCATGCATTCATGAAGAAAAACATGTACAACCCACTCCACATGTTCTCAACTAGAATATATGAGGAAGATCATAATTTCAGATGTGAATTTGCAATTGAATGCATAAAAAATTTTAGAATAACCTTATGAAAGTATTTTACAAAAAATTATTTTTGCTTCAATCATGCATTGTTTCCCTATGCTCTGTATTCCTTCTGGTTTTGAAAAGTGTGCAACTGAGAATAGGGGTGCCTCTCATCTTGAATGATTACTCAATGTAGTTTTGCACAATCATTTGTTAACTCTTTATTGGCAGTGATATATTCCTTCATCGTGACCAAACTTTAATAAGAAATTTATCATGCATTCATGAAGAAAAACATGTACAACCCACTGCACATGTTCTCAACTAGAAAGCTGACACGCACAAGCAAATACAAAACCCACCTTTTTTGCTTAAACAAATCATTTATTTATTCCTACACTTAATACGTAGCTTTTCCAGAACCTTTTACAGGAAATACTTCAGTAAGACACCATCAAGAAGATAGCTCAAAAGCAGCAATAAGGATTAATTTTAAAATACTTTTCACTTGGAATGTGGGATTCAGATTAGGCAAATAAGGAGATCAAACGGAGGGAAGTGATGTCTTGGTTGGTGGTGGATTTGATCATACTTCTTGTATCTTGTTCCATTTTCCATCTTTCGTTCACTTGTGTATCTGATTTACTCTAGTACTAATAAAATATATTCATTTCTCTACTTCTCATTTATGTTTTGTATTTCATGTATATTCTACAATCTGCAAATCATGGAAAGCGTGGTTGAATTTGAGTTGGGGAGCTAAAATTTTTGCTACAAGGAGATAAAAACAGAGGAGGTCAGTAAAGAAATTCAGCTTCTTTCTTGGTAATGATGGTTGGTTGAGCTGTATTTTTGGCAGACTCAAATGGGAATGTGTGACCACGATTATTACAGAGCAATTGACAGCTTTTCACTAAAAACCAATCTTTTCACTAAAAAAAAAAAAGATTAGGAATCTATATCTAGCATCTCAAAATGTTGGCTAAGTTCCTGCCATGAGTCTATCAAGAGGATGCTTGTGATGCAGCACTAAATTCCTACTAAATGCACTTTGCGTATCCACACTTAAAAAATAAATGTTAATTTGTTTTTGGGTCACACTTACATAAAATGCAAGTGTCATCAACATTTTGTGTCCACTATTTCTTTCTAACCTTGGTTGTGAGTCTATTAAGGGTAGCTAACAAATTTATGAAATTGTACTTGGGTATTGCATAAGAGTACCAAAGGTTACTTTCCCTGTTTTTCTCTAATCCAATGCCAAGTAAGAAGGTGTCCAGCCTACAAAATCTTTATCTAACAACCTGAATTTCAACTAACTGTGGTGACCTAACATGAAGCCAACAACAGTAGTTGTCATTCACTACTACAAAAAGTTTTGCATGAAATGGGAGACCTGCATCTCTAATAATCCTTTGCCCATAGACTTCCGAAAGTGACCTAGATGGAACTATTTCCTTCTTTTATGAGCACCATTTTTAACTTTATGATTTATAAAACATAACAAGATAACAAAGCAAATGACTTGGCAGAATTCATGTACAGAGATTGTTTGTAAATAAGAGTGTTTTAATGCATGTTAGTATCATGTTAGGAATGGTGAAAAAGAGACATGAAACCCAATTCACACAAACCCAATTCAAAATAAAGCTCAACTAAACCCTAGAAAACCAAAGCAGCAAAATTAAGCTTCAGAATCAGCTCAAACAAACTAGCAAACCTTAAAACTGAAACCAAAAAAACAAAACCAATCACGGCAGGAAGTAGTCAAGGTGGACGAGATTCTTTGGTAAGAAACGAAATCAAGGGATTCTGACCCAAATACAGAATTAAAAGAGCTGATCTAGGAGGTAGTCATATGCAAATCAATAAAAATTTGAGGAAGGAAGAGGAATTACCTGAGGCGCTGATCTATCGAGAGAGATGATGAAAAGTCTGGTAGATGCGCTTGAGTGGCCGACAACGCGAAGGTGAGAGAGCAGCGGGGGCAGCGGGGGCAGCGGTGGCAGCGGGAGCAGCGCCAGAGTCAAGGCGGATGGTGAAGGCTCATCGCCGTCGGTGAGAAGAGAGTGCAGACCAAATTCAATTCAAAATTGAAATTCGAGGGTTTTAGAGTGAAATTGAAATGTACGGAATTTACTCATGAAAATTACTCGGTTAAAATACATGTATTTCATCTAAATTCAATTACATTTTATTTAGGTAAAAATAAATAGTGAAATTGAATTTGAGCACTCCAAATTCAAATACACACGGTCAAATTCAAGTTGCCAAACAGAGCATTAAACTTTTTGATCATTAGAACTTTAAATGCATTCTCATCCCCGATTGTAAAAATAAAATAAGAAATAAGCCGGCTTAGCATACGTTTCTCCCATGCACGCCAAAGCTGCTGGTTTTGAATTTCCGGAAGTTAAGCGAGCTCTAAAGCCAAAGCAAAAGCCAAAGCCAGCTCTCCTATACACTTTTTTAGCACTTCGAACTTTGCTTTTTCATCTAGCTTTAAGAGGCATATCTTTCTCATTTGAAATTCATTTTAAACATTATTATACTCAATTGAAAGGTTGAGATGTCTACTTTCAAGTGAATTAATCATTGAGCAAAACTCCAATTGTAATTTGATATATTCTTAAATTAACATATTGAGATCAATTCGGCATCAAATGAAGAATTTTAAATTTTCTAATTTTTTGCACAATAGCACAAAACTCATTGAACTTTTTCACAATGGTTTTATTATTATCAAAATCATCATAAGAGCTCAATAGATTGCCATCAAGTAGGATGGCTACTCTTCTAGCCATACAAAACCATCAAGTGCAATCAATAATTTTTTGATGGTTGCACATGCATGGTGGTGTGGTGCCTAATGGGCGAATACAATTAGGACCACCCTCTAACAGTAAAAATATGGTCAAGAAGGATCATGTGAGGTTTCCATTGCTCTTTCCATGGTATCACACCTTGTACATATGAATGGAATCTATGAATAATGTGTGTGTGTCTATTCTTCCTACCATGGATAACCACCACCCATCCTTATGATATTAATATCATTACTAATGACATACAAAATATTCTTATAAGTGTGTCTCATGACAAATGGACAAATAAGCAACAATGATGTCCTTCTACCAATCCTTGATACCTAAGGGGTACCTCTTTTATTAACCATATATATGTCCTACGTCCCAACACTTGGACAATGCCTAATCCTTGTGTTTCTTTTTTGATGTAGATGATCACAAACTAGTGGATCCAAGCCCATGGGAATGCCTTGGGAAAACTATAGGAATGGTGACTTGGAAGGCATGGAAGGATAAATATATTGTGTTAGGATATGCCCTTGAGCCAATTCTATTTGTACTTGTGATTATGACATCTATATTTATATATAAGGCATTTATTCATCATATATTAATTGTTATTTTTTGTATTATTTAATATCAATAAGATAAAGTTCTTAGAATATCTGCTACATCAAAAGGTGAAAACAACATGTTGAGGGTTGTTATTGTCAAGAGCAAAATTAAGGCCCACAGCATTGTCCACATTAGAATGTCATCTTGTTCCAAGTCAAAGGTAATTCATATTGCTCATATTTTCTCTTTTTTTCTAATGAAGATCCACCTAATGGTGAATGCCCCCATCATATCACCAAAGCATGTCAAGCTCGCTTGTAACACAAACACTCTGATGGTAGTTTATTGGTGGATAACTTTGGCTATATCCCATTGACAAAAGCCATTTGGCATGAGCCCTGGTATGATACCCATTTCATTCTTTGATAAGAGGTTAATGCATTGACATACCTCCAAGTCCCCGTTCAGGTGGATAAAGAACTTATTTTCTTTGACAAATAGGAGATGCACTAACATTATCCTAAAATCCCCACAGATGTGAACAAAAGGCTTAAATTCTTTGACAAAAGGGAGATGTAACATTATTTTCATGTCCCTGGTAATGTAGACGAAGGACTTAACTTTTTTCATCAAGAGGTCTTTGCCATTGTAAGAACAAGCCAAGGTCTCCACCATTGTAGGTAAAAAAGACTAAATTTTGGAAGGCACTGACTCTTTCTTGCAATAAAGTACTAGTGTCATTAAGTAATTAAATTGTCTTTCATCAAGAGGACTTAAATTTTCTTGTTGAACACCAAACTTTGTCCAAAGTGTGTTTTGATTGATAGATTTGAGCTTTGAAGATAACTGCCACTAGGTTGTTGCCAAGATGTGTTGAAGTATTTTTTTTTATTAAAGTCAAACGTTAACATAACAAACCTTAACACAACTCATGGAAAGATAAGTGTCAAAATGATTAGCTTTTAACTTTATCAATTCTACTGTTAATTAAGACAAGTTTTGCTAGCAGAAGAGTTAGAAAGAAATTTCCTAGTGTTAATTAGAAGTGGAAAGGGCAAAATTTTGTCAACCCCAGTATCAACTTTAAGTTTCATCAACTTTTGTTGACAAATCAAAGTTCTTCAATTCTATTGATAAAGCAAGGTTTGTCGGCTGTAGTGCAAACTATTAGTCCCTTCGATGAATGTGGGATTTGGAGGAGGAATCCATAACAAAAGTTTATAATTGCTAAAGTGCAAAAATGCAAAAATAGATCAAGTTTGAGGGTGAATTTGTAATTTACTCCTTGAATGATTTTTTTTTTTTTTATCGATGGGTCTATGAATGAATTATTAATGTCAAATGTTTTATTCATACGAAATTAATATGGTCACAAATATAGTTTAGAAAGTTTGGTCCCAAAGTCTATCAAATAGAAGAACCAAAAATATATGAGAATTTGTTGCACTAATCCAACCAAACTACATGCCTCCATGCACCTGACCTTTTTGGCCAAGTGATTTTCGGGTTACCTTGTAGGTGCAGTCTCCTCTCTTCCTAGTGGGTTAGAAGTTCGAATCTTACCCTTATCACTTTGTTCAAAAAAAAAAAAAAAACTACATGCCTCCATGAAAACAAATTAAGTTTATTATTAAGTTAAAAAAAAAAAGTTTATTATTTCTCATAAAAAAAACTGCTGGCTTTATTAATGTGGACTGAGCCCTTTTGTTACGGTTGGCACTCAATCATTGTGCCTCGATCTCTCTAATTATTAAGGTATTTATTTAGGTATTTTACAAATGGCAAAAACCCCACTTAAGTCCTTAAACTTATCTCAAAATAGCATTTAAACCTCTAAACTAAAAATGAAGCAGACAAGCCCTCCAACTCCAATAACGATGCAAATAAGACCTTCTCACAAATGGGTTAAACGATATTTCATGTTTAATATCACCTTGAAAGCATGAACATCCATGAGTAAGAAAGGTTTATTTACATTATTAGTAGAGTCAGAGGGTTTATTTGCTTTATTTTTAGTTTAGGCGCATAAATGTGATTTTGGATAAATTTGAGGGTTTAAGGAGAATTTTTACCTTGATAAATAATTATCAAATATTGATAATAATTAAATAAAATATTGATTATTAACTATAAAATATCAATTATTAACTATTAACTCTTTCTCAAACCTAATCCAAACAGACCACCTACAAATATCAATCGGTTCGTTGTTGTTTGGACCACCACTGGCCAATCTATTATCCATATACACCACTCTCTCATGGAGGAGGAGCAGAGCCTCTTCCTACCACTCTTATCTACCACCTCCTCCTCCTCCTCCTCCTTCTCCTCCTCCTCCATCGTTAGCATTACAGCCACCACCACATCCCCTTGCTATGAAGCTGATCAAGAAACTCCTCATGATTGCGACGTATTCTTGCCCGGATTTGGTATCATTTTGCGTCTGCTTGTGATCATCTTTGTCGGAGCGGTCGCGGTTTGGGCAAACCACGAAGCGTCAAAAGGATTCGACATAACCATAGTCATCGACGCAAAAGACTCTCCAGCGGGCCGATATTTCGACCTCTTTTACATAGCAACCGATGCAATCACACGGGTACTTCTGAATGCTATTTCGTTCGTGGAAAACATCCTCTATCCACCACATTCGACTTCCCAATCCAAGAAGCAAGTGCGTCATGTCACTCTCCGTCTGGCCGGAAAGAACCTGACAGACACAGTAGCCGTTGATAAAAGCAGGCGCAACGAGTTCGTTGTTAATCTAAGTCCATCCATAGTAGGAGAGGCGGACATTAGTACTAGTGTCAAACACGCGATGCTGCGTGCCATGGCTCGGGTATGGCTGTGGGATGGTGAATCTCGTGCTCCACCGCGGCTTCTTCTAGAGTGCATGGTAGAGTGCATATGTGGGATGGCAGGGTTTGGTACTGTTGATGATGATGATCAGAGGTGGAGATCTGGCAGGTTTTTTTTGGAAGGGATGGAGGATATCCAAAGGTTGAATGTGGCTCTGAGAAAGGAGTGGGGTAGTGGGGACAATCGGAGGTATAGGAACGTGCACTTTACATGAGCTTTGTTTCAAATGAAGCATTTTAGCTGGCTTTGGGGCATAATTTGTGGTTGGTCACATGGGTTTGTGGGGTTGAGATTTGGAGGAATCAAATGGACATTTATGTAAGAGGAGAGACTCTGGGAGAGGCAGACATAGTTAATTATGATTTGGTAAACAATTTCAATTTCTAATTTTTAATGCCATTATGTAATTAAATTCTCTCTCTCTCTCTCTTTTTAAATGGATAATCATAAAGTTAAAGTAAAAAAAAAAAGTTGTCTCCCTTAAATATGAAAAATGACTGCTGTTTTGGGACCAATGCTAAATTAAAAAATGCTTATTATTTTGAGATGTATTATTTTGAAATGAAAACAATATTATTTTGCTTTCTTCTAATGGTTATATGATAACCAAACATTTAGTTGTTGTAATTGCACCAAACCAGAAGTCTTTCTTCAGTCCGTGCTTGCACTCCGCGAAAACCTGCAAAGCCCCGAGGTGGAACTCAGGGTAGACACTCCGATGCTTAAGTCAGCAATAATCGGGGCTACCTTTAGAGCGGAGATAAAAAGAGCTTAGGGTTGGTTTCAATTACCTTTCTGAGGTGGCCCCTGGGGGTATTTATAGGCCTT